ATTATGTGGTTTTGCTGCAAAATCGGGATAACTGTTGTCAAAGTGTTTTTAAGTTTCATCAACTGATGGATGCGTCATTGTACTAACATTAACATATTAAGTATTATGTCATGTCATGTGGGGAGCTGTGCGCATAGACGCCAATAGTCGCTGGAGCCGTTGAATGAGAGAAAAATAAAAGAGACATTTGTAAGGGATATTCTTCTGGTTTTTACTCTTACTTCCCCTTGGCTGGAATCTATCAGCACTACAAAACTTGCATTTTGTCTCTTGTGCATTCTCCCTGTAATATAACATACAATCGTTGACACAACAATCTTTCTTTTTAGATAGTAGCCCCAACTTCGCCACTAACTTCTTAGTTATGTAAAAATCTTCTGGAACTAAATTACCATCAAGTTTGTCTTATTTAATAATGTTACTACCTGATTGAGGCATTTTTTGGGCATGTTAAAATTGGATTTGATATCAATTGTTAACTCTGTGCGTGAAGTACATTCTTCCCACAATGGTTGTTAGCTCATAGAATTGTTGCGCTTCACTATTCAGCTCCCGGTCATCATCAAGCACACTCCCAATAAAATGAGCTTTGCTTGCATCATCAATCATTTGCTCATACCTGCTAGAATCGTGAAAAGTTTGTGGGGTGTAACTTGATGAGGCTCCCGCATGACCGTACCAAACATCTAGTTCAAAGTCACTATGTGAAGTTCAATACCAATAATCGAGTTTAAATCCCCAACGGTATAGGTCTAACTTCACTTTGTAAGGTGTCAGATACGCTTGACTCTTGTGCTTCACATAGAGGCATCAAAACCTACCTTCTGAGAAGTAAAAGGATAGTTGCGATGCTACATGCACAAATTCTTTAACAACAGCAATAAACTCGTTAGTTAATCATCATCTTCCTAGATATAATCTGTTATACATCCAGGATCTAACGCTTCAAATATCCATCTATATCATAAATGTAGCTCTATAGATTAGTCCACCTACGCATTACAGATCTCACTTGAAACCTTAGGTCACCCACACATCATACCCGATACCCATAGCCTACAAATCCAGAGAATCAACTTAATCTTTCTTATATACATACATAACACAAATTTAGGTGTGATGTGCACCTACACATCAGACCTAATTTTCCTATTTACATACATTTCTCACACCTAAATTTTCAACCCTAAATACATAGCACAAATTTCTCATTTGTTTACATATCTCACTCCTAAATTTTCATATTTATATACATATCACAAAATTTCTTATTTATTGACATATCTCACACCTAAATTTTATATTTACATACATACTACAATTTTCTTATGCAATCACATATCTCACACCTAAATTTCATATTTATATACATACCGCACTTTTCTTATGTATTCACATATCTCAACACTAAATTTCATATTTATATACATACCACAATTTTCTTATGTATTCACATATCTCGCACTTAAATTTCGTATTTATATACATATCACAATTTTCTTATGCAATTATATATCTCATTCTTAAATTTCATATTTACATACATGGCACAATATTTCTTATGAATTCACATATCTCAGACCCAAATTTCATATTCACATGCATACCACAATTTTCTTATGCATTTACATATCTCACACAAAAATTTTCATAGAGAGCACAAATTTCTTATGTATTTACATATTTCACACATAACTTAGGTAAAACCATGAAATTCATATATATTGCATACATAACAAGGGAATGCGAAAAAAAAGTTAGTATTTTAGGATCTAACACCTATGCAAGGGAAAAAAAGATGGAAACTTATGCTAAACCCAAGTTTGGAGGTGTAGAAGAAGATTTCTAATTTTGTACAAGGCTGGAGTGGTGAATTAGAGCTGGTTTTACTGGGAGAAACTTATTAGATGGCGAAGAGAACGAAAAGAAGCCGAAAGAGATGATGCTACATGATGGAGTTACGGTTTGCAGGAGCCCTATTTAAGAGCTCTTGAGCCTGCTTTAGCGTCGGCTATGGCTGACGATAATAAACAAGAGTAGCGTGATCATATCAAATTATTGACTTCCGCTCCACACAACTTGCTTGCATAGTTTCATCTAGAGATGAAACTGCGGGGCGGCGCTAACAGACGTTAGTCGATGAAAACCATGAAATTCATATACATTGCATACCTAACAAGGGAATGCGAAAAAAAGTTAGTATGTTAGGATCTAACACCTATGCAAGGAAAAAAAATATGGAAACTTATGCTAAACCAAAGTTTTGAGGTGTAGGAGAAGATTTCTAATTTTGGACGGGGCTGGAGTAGTGAATTAGAGCTGGTTTTACGGGAGAAACTTAGGAGACGGCGAAGAGAACGAAAAGAAGCCGAAAGAGACGATGCCACATGATGGAGTTACGGTTCGCGGGAGCCCTGTTTAAGAGCTCTTGCGCCTGCTTTAGTAAATAAGAGTAGCGCGACCATATCAGATTATTGACTTCCGCTCCACACAACTTACTTGCATCGTTTCATCTACAGACGAAACTGCGGGGCGGCGCTAACAGACGTTAGTCGATCGCTAATTTTACGTTGGAAATATTTATGACGTTAATTTATAGTTTTTCTGTATCGTAGATTTTTTTTGTGATCTTATATCATTGATATATAAGTTATAATATTCCAATAAAATAAATAACTCAAACAAAACAAAAATCTTAGATAAAAAAAAGTAAGGATCAATCATAGGATAATTGAAGTGTTGTTGAGTCTTTTACTATGTAAGCACTCCCTATTTTTTCTCTATTAGATTCTTAAAATAAATATTCCAATTTGATTCTTCCCAATAGAAACTCTAATTAAAATAATCTTAAGAATATAAATATTAAAATTTACAGAGACACGAGCCACTGCCTAAATCAATAATATTCTTAAATATTCTTAAGACATAACTTTTTCTAAAGTATAATTAACTATGACAGCTTGCCCTTATCGATAACTTGTAAAACCAAATTTAAATAAATCTTACCGAGAAAAATCTTTGATTTACACAGATCCATCAATTTTGGAGTCCTTAATACATGATTGAATTTATTATAGAATTATATTTCAATAGTTCGAGATAGTATATTGTTCTTAATGTCACATTCGGTCATAGAAATATGAATATTTAAAATTTGCATGGTGCTACATATTCAATTTCAATAAAGATCAAATCTAAAGGCTCAAATTTCAATGTGTAAGTTAGAGTTGACAAAATTTATAGTGTAAAAAATTTTAAATTATATTGTACAATTAAAATACTATTGAAGAGAACTTCTGCAGATAGAACAGCTCAGAGCAGAGCATGCATCACCAAAACGAAGATGTCTAGAGACCCGATAATGATTGAGCAACAGACCAAGGGTCAACCAATCCAAAATATGACCATACCAGATGTCAGTTATCGATTGAGTGACCGACCTATAGTGATCAACCGACCTAGAGGAATGTCAAACTAGAGGGTAGATATTGATCAAGTGAACGACCAGGGGTCAATTGACCTAGAAGATGACCGAACCATAGACCATGTATCGATCAAGTGGCAATACAAGGGTAAACTGACCTAGAGGTTGGACGAACTAGAGTTTGACAAACTTAGAGATCACTCAAATAAAGGTCGACTAACAAGAGGACAATCTATCAGATATTCAACAACCCTATGGCAAGAAGTCGATTGATTATTAAAAGACAATGTATGTAATTTTATTTCATATTATTCTTAACCCTAAGTAAATTGAGGAACATTAATTATAATACAGGCTATTGAAATTTTCTACTAAAATTTTGAAGTTTAACCTCTTTATATGTTTCTCTCTCCTTCCCACGCTCTATTCATTGGTTGTGATTCACTTACAGATTTGGGGTCAACATTAATGCAAATCACGAATCGATTCTCTACAGAGAAGTAAGCATAGTCAAGAAGATCTAATATGATAAAATGAAAATTTTAAAACATATTGACAGTGGCCAGATCAATAAAAAAATCTCAATGGGTGGGATATTATCATTAAATTGCCTGAATATTCTAATACAAAGTATATCAGACTTAAATTCATGTAAAAAAGGAAGTTTGAAGAAAAAATACAAAATTTAAAATTTGTTTCAATGAAAATATGCACCTTAAAGCTAAGAGCAAAATTCATCTACAATCTACAACAATTTATTGAGAGTAATAAATTTAGATTGTCCCAAATTTCCAAATAACTAATGTAATATCAAGCACGGCTTTTTATCACTCTCAAAAGATCATAAACCAATAAGAATATGACACTATCCTTTAATCACACTGTTTAGCTTTCAAATGTTTAATGATTAAAATTGAGTTCCTTTTACCTGATGATTCATTGTAAAATGATATCATTATATTATGATCATTACCATAGCCTAATTGTTCCCTACTGACTCAATAATAAGGAGTACCTTGATAAAGCTATATTAGCTAAGGTCAATTTAAGATCGTTTTCTTTAACAAACATTTATCATATATCTATAAGATAAATTCAGAAGACACAAAATTTAACCATCAATAAGAATTGTTCAATCAAGTTGGATCAAACACCAAAGATGAAAGAAGAGACTAGGGTTCATGACAATCGGAAACAATGAAAACATAAGATTTTGTTCGGGTTTATTATACTTTCCTTTATTTTTTTGCTTCAAGGATTGTAAATTTTCTCCAAATAAAATTGTGATGATATTACTTAAAACCAAATCATATTGTTATAATAAGTTCTCTCTTATCATCAAAAGTATATTGAATCAAAGGGACATGTCTCTATATAAATAGTAAAATTTATACTTAAAAAAATATTTAGAATTTGTGATTTTATCCACTCTAAAAAATAATGTTGGTCCTACCCTTGTAAAAATTATATCCTCAAGTTATCATAAAATGAAGGTGAAATTTTAATGAGGGGCATATTTATAAAAAAATACGGGGCATGTAAAGTAATTTATTTATTTTTATCTTTAGCCCTTAGATTCGAGGGCATCTCGATTCTTAATTCTATCAGATGAAACTTAATGCCCTAGCGAAACCCTATACCCTCCATGCCATTCTTCCCGAGCTCCGTAATTCGCTCTGCTCTTTGCGACGTTAAAACCCTTTCGACCGGCATCCTCCTATCTCTTTACCTCGAGCCAACACTCCCTTATTGTTGCGGAGGCAAGGAGGAACCAGAGAGCGGGAATTTCCCCACACGCCGTCTTCTTCATACCTTTTGATCTTTAGTCAAGAATCTCTTTTTGCTTGTTGCGGAGGAAAAGAGGTTCTGGGGAAGGGGATTCTACATGTAAGTTTTACAGATTGATGGAGTGGAGTTTGCGATTGTGGAGAGAAAGAGTTTTGTCGGTTTTCGTCTTTGAGAATGGGCTCGAAACTCGTGGAAATTCAACCGAGGGGAACTCAGGTTTATTTGTAAGTTTGTATTCAACGAGCACCAAGAACTGAGGAGGAAATTGCGTTTTCTTACTGATATTATTTGCTTTTGGACGATTTATTTTCAATATCCCAGGTCTTTCAATTCCGTGGGTTAGGATCATGGAGTTGAGTTTTGTGGTTTTATGCTGTTACAGTAATTCTTTTAAATTTTTTGGTTGAACCTGGAGTAAGATTCTAGAGGCATGTGAGAAGTTGCTAAGCTCCAATTCGAACATCCTTATGTTCTAAAAATTGGCTTTTTAATATGTATATACATGTACCTGTACTTCGTAAAAGGCATGGTTCACTAATTACTGATTATTAAAAAAGTATGTATACAAATGGATAATTTGGTCATATCGGCGCTTAAAAGGTAGAATCACCTTCAGGGGGTGTTCGAATGCAAGTAGGATTTAGTAAATCATTTCATTTTAAATCCGTTAAATCCACTCCACCCCTAGATTTATTAAATCTGGATTTAAGCCAAATCAAAGGCAAAATTTGAGACTATAAATCTAAAAATTCATAAATCCACAAAACTTCAGCATCTTAGCTCTTTACTAGATTTAGTGAATCTGATTATAAATCCTATTAAAAGGCACTACCTAACAACCCCTTATATTCTTAAATTTCATTGGTATATATCCATGCAAAGAAAATAAAAGTTGAAATAGGAGGCAACCTTTGGAATCAACAATTCCTATAAAGGTGGTTCGGGATTATAAATCAACTATAGGAAGACCTGTAGGAAGGAAGACCTCAGAAGGTTTTCGAACTATAGAAATCAATTATCTATAAATCTTCTAGAACTTTATTGATCAATGAGATTGTAGCAATTAGCTCGCCTTTCAATGACATGTGGAATTGCTACGTAATTGGCCTGACGGAAGGGATTCTATTCTCTTCCACGTTAGGCTGTATTTTGGATAGCTTTTTCACAATTTTATTTTATACATTGCTTCCACATTTTTTTTTGGCTACAACTTTTTAGCTAGTTTTTAGAAATTTTTGTGGTGATGAGTTGTCCACAACTTGATTTTTCAGAATGTGGTATTCATAAAAAGAGCTATTTTTTGACTTTTTCAAGAGCAAAAAAAATTATAACCAAGATGAGTTGAAGAAAATATTTTTTTCACAACAATTTTATAACTAATTTTATAGTCAACCTATTTATTCTGCTAGTCCTTTAGTTTGTACTCTTATATCAAGGTCTTTTTGGGGTATGTGTATCTATTTGCAAAGTTAGTTGTACAGTTATTTTGTATAAAATAATTTTCTTAAAGTTGCTGGCATTATAATTATTTTATTTTTGGGGCATTTACATGTATTAACCTCAATTCTTGTGAATTTACATTTTTAACACCTAAACTCTACTTTTCACATTTATACCACTCAAATATTTCATCACATGAAAAATACAACTATTTTAAATTTTAAAAGGTGAAATTCATCTTTTCATACATAGTTAAGGAGGCATCTATGTAAAAAATTGAAGTTTAGGTGCTAAATATGTAAATACACACGACTTAAGTAGTATGCATGTATATCTTCCTATATTTTTTTGAAATGGCAGAATAATATGTTTTCTTACAAATGCAACAATCTAGGAGATCTTCATACATAGTTAAGGAGGCATATATGTAAAAAATTGAAGTTTAGGTGCTAAATATGTAAATACACAGGACTTAAGTAGTATGCATGTATATCTTCCTATATTTTTTTGAAATGGCAGAATAATATGTTTTCTTACAAATGCAACAATCTAGGAGATCTAATTGTTAGTGTCCTTAAAACTAAAACAATGAATGCCTCAAATAGATATAATATTCTCAGATTTTTCATGGTCTAGTAATTCTACTCGTAACTACCCGGTTGCTTCTAGCACACCTTTGTCGTGGAAGATCTTGGTAGTTATATTTTGTTATTGAAAGAGCAACCACTTCCTAGCACCTCAAATCAAGCTGTGTCACTCCAATCACCCCGTTTAAAATTTCATTTCCTTTTGTCCTCATATTAATACTTATTGCCAGGATGAACTTGGCAACAATGGTTTTCCACCACATCTTAAAAAAGACAACCAAAATCATAAACATAACCCATAAAAGATGGGAGATAGAAGATCTTGATAATCTCTTGGAAATTTTGATAAAGAAATGAAAGATTGGGCTTGACATGCTTTTTGTTGCTCCTCTTTGTTTTACTCAGGAGAAAAGACTAATAATCTCCCCTTTATTTAAGTTTTATTTTTCACTTCCATTTTACTAATTTTTTTAAATTTGAGCTTCAGTTGTTAGATTTGCTTTTTTATAGTAATTAGCGTATATTCGTTATCTTCTTTGCTAAAGCGCGGCCTTCTAAAAGTAGAGAAGAAGTGTTGCAAGCTTATTAAAGTTGATGCCAAGATAATATGCTCCATTCTGCGTTTGCTAAATCGCTGAATTTTACTTGTAGGTTAGGTTGACTGTTTTTAGTGAGGGGCATTTACATACATACCACACAATTCTTATGTATTTACATATCGAACACCTAAACATTTATATTTAAATGCATACCACTCAAATCTTTAACAGCACATAATAAATACGATCATCACTATCTTTTTAAAGTGAATACATATTTTCATGCATAAGTTTATGACACCAAGGTGTTATGGTTGTAATTATCAAACTTAGGGTGTTATATATGTAAATACATAAGAATGCTGCGGTACATATGTAAATTTTCCTATTATTAAATGCTAATGTTGTCCATTTGAGGTTACCTTTTATATTTAGTTATTAATTTTTGGCTCATAATCTCATATTTACAGTAGTATTTTTATCTTTGTGATGTAATCCTTAACTCTAAAAGAGACGTGCAAGGTTCCCTTTTATTGATTCCTATAGTTTAAGGAGTGGGACTCCTTTTACAACTCTGATTTCACTCTATTTCTTGTTTACGGGTTCGTTGCAGCTTCCTTAATTCCCACAAAGATCAAGTGTATTTCTTTTTTGACTTATGGAATAATGAATTCCACTTTTGACTTGATTGGTTTGTGGTTTAAATTTCTTTTTCCAAAGTGCATGCTATGCACTCTCTCCCTGCATTAGCAACATTTTTTCGTGCACGTTCTGGAGTTGAAGCTCATGCAAGTTAAAGTTGTGTTTTACAGGTTGTGTGTTGTTGTTTCGTCAATGCTGAAATTGAGCTTTTGGGCTAAAATAATTGATTTTAGATGACTTCGTAGCTTTTTTTAGATGTGGTATGTGCATTAATTGACACATTCACTCGTGCTATTATATGAATATCTAATTATTATGTGATGTAACGTGTCATAGCCATGCTTTACTTTGATAAAATTTATCATCTAGATAACGTGCTTTCACTTGCTCAACTTCAGCTAGATACACTAAATTTTCTTCCTTTTGTTTTGTTTTCTGTCAATAGAGATTTGGATAGAGAAGGCCTTAATGATGGAAGAGGTCCGGTGAGACATAGAATGTTCTTGGAGTTTGAGAGGTTGTAATTTGTTTTAGTTATTGATTGTAGTTCTTGCAAGTTTTTATTGTTACATCATTGTTCTTTCATTAGAAAATTTCTTAATGTTTTTGACAGGTTGTTCTTTCTTTAGCTCATATAATATTAGTTTTTCTTTTCAAAGTTGCTTTTAATTAAATAATTTTTACTGGCTGTCCTAATGCTTTATAATGTTATGGAAGTTCTTTATTATATTTTTTCTATATATTTTTTCTGAGAAAAATGTTATGCAGATGTAGAATATGTACTTTGTTGATAAGATTGACACTAGAAGAAAAACATTATGCAGTTGTAGAATATGCACTAGAAAAATATTTACTGTGTTCATTATTTCTTCTTTCATAAATTTTTGCTATAAGGTTGACACTTATTTTTATTCTTTTCATTTTATCTTTTTTATTGTTTTCCCACTATTTATGTTTACCAGTGGGGTCTAATGAGTTTCTTCCCTGTCAAATAGCAGTAAAAAAATCGGGGGCACATTTTTGGTCCAAATTATTCTTTTTAACTGGCCAATGCAATATTTTTTCCAGGTTGAAGTCCTCTTTAATCAGTCTTCTACAATCTTATGAGATGAAAACACCTTGCTTATATGTAGTCTATTGCCTTATTGGGTCTTGCCTAGGGCCAGTCACTTCAATTATTTTATTTCTTTATATTTATGTTGAAGGGGTGCATTTACATACATATCACACAATTGTTATGTATTATCACATCGCACACCTAAACTTTCATATTTACAGACATGACAGTCAAATCTTTAATTTATCATTAAAAATAGCACTATTATTATTTTAAAAAAAATGAAATATAACTTTTCACGCATAGATTTAAGTACGAAAGTGTTTTGTGTTAACTTTTCATCCATTTATGTAAATGCCTGTTAATCTTAATTGCTGCTAATTACTCTCTCTCTCACTCTCTCTCCCTCTCACACTCTCTCTCTCTCTTTCACACACACACACTCTCTATCTCTTATGTTCCTTTGATTTTAACAGTTTATTTTTTTTTCTTGTAGGGTGTTGAAGGAGCTTGGTCGGAAAGTGTCAGAAGATTCGCTAGGCTTGTTACCAAAATTGCTATCATATTTAAAACATGATGATCTATTTGTTGTTAAACAATCAATTACTACTGGAACAAGTTTGTTTTGTGCTGTTCTATTTGAGATAGCAGCTCAGGTGACTTTGTAGAACAAATGTATTATCAATGGATAAATATTTGCTCTTCTCATTTTAAAGTCAATTTTTATTCTTATGTTCGTCTCTTTGTTGGTTGTTGAATATCCTGGGGTTCTGTGATCTTTCAATGAGCTGAAACTGTGGTTGATATTAGAAAATAGGAATCTATGGTCATAATAGTGCAAATTTCAAAACTATTTCCAATAATGTTTATTCAACACCATATTTCAATCAGACCTGTATAAAACCATTATATTTAAATGATATTTTTCTTTTGAATACATATTATTTTAATTTGAGATGCTGAATCTGAATTTTCTTGTGCCTGGAAAGGTCAAGTCAATATTGTTAACTTTAAAAAGGCTCTGGTTGAAGATATGAGATGGTATCTGATGGTGGTTTAACCTGATGAAGGGATATGGATATTGTGGATCACCCTTGGTGTTATTCATTGAGATTCCAATTTGTTTTAAGGACCTATGTTATTCTTAATTGAAAAGAAATCAGTTCAATCAAAAACCCCTCTCTGCTCTCACTAGCCATGAAAAATTATTGCTTGTTTAAGGTAAGGCCTTTGGAAATTGGCCACATAGTACATGTACAACTTCTAATATGAGCTCATTCTGTATGGATGTAACTTGTTGAATTGTAAATTTTATGTTTGAACTGATTATCTTAAAAGGTATTTTATTGTAAAAGAAAGTTTTTATATTGATGCAAATATAATTAGTAGGTTTCATTTTGAAATGTCAAATGCATGCTAAAATAGCCAAGGCAGAAGCAAGGAGATCTAGATGTATTAGGAGTGAGGATTGCAAAATCTTAGTTAATAATAAATATATCAAATAAAAATGAAATTGCTATTTTAAGAAATTATTAAATCACAATAGTAAGGAAAAAAAAATGTTAGAATAGCAAAATGAACAAAATTATGAAGTATACTATGGATTGATTAAAAAAGATAAAATTAATTATTTGAATTGAATAAATTTATATCAAATTTATGATTTAAATATGATCATTATTTGAGATGGAAGATTTATGAAAGATATTGAAATAGTTTGCTCATCAAAATTTCTTAATGAAACTCTGAGTTTGAAGAGAACATTGAATGATTGGAAAAAAATAACTTTAATACCAATCTTCATTTAGATCATAAACTTTAAATTAAATAATTTACTTTGAAGCTTATGATCGAAACGAGATCACTATTTGAGATTTGAAGATTTATGAAAGAGGGATAGTTTGGTTGTCAAAGTGATACTGAAGTTAACCCAAATGACAATAAAAATAGAAATATTATTGCTTAGTTCAAGTAAGGTTACAATGACAACTCTTCAAACAGTAAATGATAACAAATATAAAATGACACAAGAAAAAACCATTAAAATGTATCTTAAGGGTGGTGAAGGTTGGCTATGTGGATCAGGATGGTTGGCGGGGGCGTTGGCAGCAAATGAATGCTTGTGGCAGTGAGGGGGAGGTGCAGAAAGGCAGTGACAGTAGGTATGAAGGCTGCCCCGAGTGATGAAAACAAGGGTTTGTGGTGGATAGCGATGAAACAGTAGGAAGGAGGTGTTCCCTGTCTGTCCCGGGCGGCAACGACACAGTTTGGAGGGTTGGGACAACAGGAAGGAGGCGGGGTTTGGGCGGCAACAATGTTGGATGGGAGGGTAAGGTGGCGGGTAGGTAGGTGACTACAAAAAAAACAACAAACCAAGTGCTTTTGTGGGCGGGTGCAATGAGGTACGACTACAGGGAGCAATGTGGGAGGTTGCGGAAGGGAATAAGAGGATAATAATCACTACCTTGGGAGAGATACAACCGGAGCACCACCTAATCCTTTAGATATAACCCTCAAAGGGAAAAACAAAAGTCGACGGCTGCCCTGACAGAAATTTGAAAGTGAGACACAATAATCTCCCTAAATTAAACAAACATGCATATAAATAGATTCCAAGCAGGTGGAAAACATAGAAGGAAAAATGGAAGCATTGGGCGGCAAATCTCGACTCCCAGTGGGTGGGAATCAGGCCAAGAAAGGAAGTCAGGGCGTGAAAAGCAAATCTTGACTCTAATAAAGGAAAGGGAGGTGGGAATTAGGAAAGGTGGGGCGAGAGCGACAAATCTCGATTCTGAAAAGGCTGGCTGGTCCGGCAGGAGGCTAGACCAGACCTTCCTTACGCCTGGTTCAGCCGGCCTTCTCTCCAAGCCCCGCGTCACAAAGTTTCTTAGTAAGACTTTGAGTATGCAGACAATGCTGAATGATTGAAGAAGATGAACTTTTCTACCGGTCTTTAAATCGGAGACATTTAGTTTTTGGTAATTTTAGGGAATCAAATTGCTAATTTATATAATGAAATTATTTGAACGGGTGATAGGATGTAGTTGGTATTGAAGAATTGATTTCATTTTATGCTAGAAAAATCTTTTATAGAGTGAAAGTATCTTAGTATGGTATTTAGTGACCTTAAAACTACTATAATTGATTAACATAAGAATTTGTTTTGTGTGCATTAAGGGGATAAGGTGTTTCAGTGCTTGTTATGCTTACCAACCCTAAAAGGCCGTTTGATTGATTAACTTGAAACTTGGTTATGTGGGACTTAAGAAGATTGGAAGTGTAGAAGATCTTTTAAAGTTATTAAAATACATAAGATTTTATATTGAAGAACATTAGATTTTTGAACCATCCTAGTTTTTTCTATTATTTATCTTAGGTTGATTTTGGTATCACTCTTTCTACAATAAAATAATGTTGCTTTCACTTTAACCTTTCTAGTTTTACTACACCTTATCTTAACATTCTTATTTATATCACACTTAACCTGGTGATTCTGACTTATTATTTGCTCAACGCTCGTATTCAAATGTCACAGCCTTTTTGCAGCTTTGCAAAATTGAACTTTTTTTTTTATCTTCATGATATTCTTTTTCACATATACTTATTGACATTTTAACAATTCAATTTGAATTTTTAAAATGGACAGGAGTCTGATAATTTCTTGGGATTAGTAAACTTACAAACAAGAATAATAGAATAAAATTTCAGTTAGATTATTTATATTATATCAGTCCTAGTTTTATCTTATAAATAAGGGAGAAGCACACTGAGAAAGTTGGGTGTACTACGAATGATATGCTCAGGGAGTTCATAATGATATTAGCAAGGATAAATTGTGAAATGATTGGCAAAAAATGGTCATTAAATCTTTTGTGGTTTGATAGCAGATAATGTGTTGCTGTTGTTTAGTCATGTACAGAAAAGAGAATAAAGCAACAATAAAACTGACTAGAATTGGCCAGAGGTTGTTTAACACGGCTTACATTAATCAACACCACAGTGAGCACAAAATAAAAAAAATGAATGGCGAGTACATTTTAAAAAAGGTAAACTAAATATTCTGATTTTTTGCTTATGGATAACTATCACCATTATTCGGATCTCACCTATGCTAATTTCCCTTGAGAATCTTGTTTTTTCTCCTGAGCTGTTAAAATTAATTTACAAGACTTATTTGAACTTAGAAAATTATTCTTCTGACTTCTTGTGGTACCCTTGCAAGTTGGATGGCTAATTTTAAAAATTTGCTTCCTTCTAAGATTGTCATTTTTCAGCCAAACATCACTTCAGTTGGTGTATTAAATCTTTAAATGATTCATTCTTATCAATTGAGATTTATGTATTTTTCAACAAGTGGTGGTGACATTATTGTTTTCCATTATGTAGCTTAATAAATCTGACAGGCTCGAAAGATGGCTTGAAAAAATGTGGACTTGGATGCTGCAATTCAAGGATGCAGTTTTTGGCATTGTTTTGGAGGTAGGCCTTGGCCTGATTAGTCAGTTATGGCATTATGGAAGTTACTATTGACTTTCTGACTTCATGCATTAAGCTTAGGAATATTTACATACATACCACTTAATTTGTATGTATATTTTTACATACATATCACCTTACCTATGCATGAAAAGGCATATTTCACTTTTTGAAAGTTAAAATGGTGGTAATTTTGATGTGGTATGAACTATTTGGGGTAGAAATGTAAATAGCAAAGTTTAGGGTTTTAGATATGTAAATACATAAAATTTAGTTGGCATGTATGTAAACGCTCATAAAAAAAAAATGTGCTTTGGTCGACTTACCGACTTTTTTCTTAGAAGACTAGCTGGGCTTAACACAAGTTTTGTACCACGCTAATTTCGTAGTTGTATTTGCATCCTGATGTCATCACCATTAGTTAAAATGATAACTACAATTTTCACCATGTATTTCTTAGAACAATAAAAATGATTTTACTTGATCCATGCTATTCAGGGTTCAATGCTCCATCAACAAATGATCTAAATATTATATAACCACAAAGTTTAGCTGTTTTGTGTTATATAAGGAGTTGACATTTTGAAATGAATTTCACAAACTGCAATGAAAATTACTTTTAAGCACAATGAATTGCAACCCAGATTGGCTTTTTGTCGTAAAATGTAATCACCAAGATGTTTAGAGATCAAAATAACCATTATGCAAATGATTGAAATCAGTAGAGATCGAAATAACTGTCACATGTTTAAATTCTTCAAAATGCTGACAATAAATTCAAACATATGGTAACTCGTTCATTGATTTTGTTGCTTGTTCTGACGTTCAAAATTCTTATACATGGAAGTAATTTTTAATTTATAACCTGTAATCACGAAGATGTCTTGAAGCGAGGTTCTCCAATTACCTTTCTAAAATGACATTAACTCACTTAAATGCCTTAATGCTATTTTCCTAGATTCTTTTTGATGCGTATGATGTCGCTCATAAATAGCTTTTGCTATATAATTGTGTTTTGATAAATACATTGTATAATTGTATATAAGCCTAAACTTATACAGTGATCTTTTTGTGGGGGAAATAAAGTTGATTCTGCACTTCATATTTTATGAATAGTATCAAATGTCAGATCAAGTCCGTTTATGATTTAGTTGGTGATCTAATTTGGTCGTATTTTAAATTGTTTCGTTATTTATCACAGTTTTGTCTGACTTGGCCACTTTATACCTTAAAATTTATCAATCATTTATCTCACCATCTGGACCGTTAATGATGGTGCATTACCAAATTGTCATACACATACAAACACACATTATAGTATTGTGTTGTCACGTAAAACTTTGTGCAAATTTAGTTGAGTCCTATGTTTTTCAACAGTTGAGAAAATCTGTTTTTTGGCTTAGGTCCCATTTGGTTCCTTGAGGTTAGAAACATGTTTTATAAAGCAATAAAAATTATTAGTTCCGCATTTAGCTGGTTATAGTTGGCAATCTACCTTTTTGCATGTTTTGATTCATTACACAAAATGAGAGAAAATGAAATGATCAATTTTCAAGACATATTTTGTCTAATAGCAACCAAATAGGCGCTTATATAGCTGCAAAATATGCTTTAGATGCTTATAGTTTTCTGCTTTCTGCTTTTTTTTTTTGCTTGACGGTAAAGCTGAGTAAACAATTAGCGACTGATGAAAAAGTAAACTAATTACGAAGTTCTAGGATTTGCTGTGCATATATGATGTGGAGAACAACCTGTCAAAAATCAAAATGAATCACTATCACTTTTAGTTGCAATACTGAAATTCTTGGATGTTTGAAGAATGTCTAAAATCTATTAGAGATGGCTGTGGATTTTTGAACCTGTTTAATAATGGCTGTGTTGCGTTTGTTTTTTTTTAATTTGCTGAAGCCATTGACTCTGACCATAATGGAACAGAACGGATAATTCGAATGAACTTGTGATGCTGTTAGTTTTAGTTAAAGAGCCGCATATTTCTCTCTTCATAAGCCTTATTGATATCAACTGTTTTGAAGAATTTACTACATGACCATGTCGGTGTGCTAATTAGTAACAATATAACAAAATCCTATTTTATTTTTGGTGTTTGGGGTCTAACAGTGCAAATTTTTTTTTTAAATCAAAATGCTTTGTGAAGGTGGTGGGCAGATCCTTGCCTCTTAAATTAGTTTGCTGGCTAATTGCCAACATAGATTGACTTTATAGGATGATCTAATTACTAGATGTTTTTTAATTACATAATAGAAGATCATTGTAAAATATTCTCATATATGATGCAATTAATAAATTTCAAGTAGTAAATGTATGAAGGCCGTGTAACAATCCAAATTCTCGGCTATCTCTGGCTTAATGACCTTACAGTTGGTGTAATTTCTAAGTTGTTCATCCATCTCAAAGGGCTCCCATACGACATGCTTCTTTGGAGTTTCTGATGAAATTTCAACCGTTACATCAAAGGATGCTGTGATAGTCTGACTTTATTGATAATTGAGTTAACCCAAACCACAATAGAAATACAATTATTATTGCTGAAATTCAAAAGAGTTATAATAATGGAGCTTAAAAAAATAAAACGACACCAAACACACATGATCCCCCAGGGGAGGACGAAAGTGGTGGTCACTGGCCAGACAATAGGTGGTATGGCCGGTGGGGCGCTTGTTGTAGCAACAAGGCAAGCTGTTGTGGGTAGGTGGCAGCAGTAGGAGGGGAAGGGTGTTAGGTGCGGCAATAGGAGGGGATGTTGGAGGGGTTGTGAGGACAGCATGTGGTATGGGGAGGAGAGTCTAAGGTAGCAATAATGGAAGGGAGAAGGGCTTACGACAATAACAGTGGGAGTAGGAAGGGGTTACGACAGTAGTAGCGGAGGGAGGTGAAATTAGCGATACGGGAATAGGAAAAGGCAACTGCAGAATAGTGCAGGATGCTGGGAGATAATCACAATGTCAGAGCGAGATTCAAACCGGAACATCACCTGTCCTTGGATACAACCATAGGTAGGGATAAACCAGACGCTGCGACTATCCTGATATAAAACTCAATCAAAACCGAACCCTAAAACCAAATAACAACATATTTATAATAAACTAAGATAACTATGGGAGGGAAGGGGAGGGGAAGTGGAGGAGGTGACATCCCTCCCAACCCTAATTAGGGTCGTCGAAGCTTCTGCCTGGCCTTTGTCGGTGATGGAGTAGTTGTAACTTCATGGGGCTGAATGCTCATGGACTTCGGTATGAAAAACACCTGAATACCATTGGCAACTGCACTGTCACCCAAAGCTCTTGAAGATTTTCTTCCACGTACGAGCATATAACTATATGGATCCGCTCTTCTCCACTACTGAACTGAACTGAGTCAATGTGTCTCAAATATACTACAAAATTCTCCTAAAGTAATTCACAGTGGACTCAACTTAATTTGAAGTGATAGTAACCTGAACCTTTCCTAGCAGTAGTGGCCATAGTAGTAAGGTATCGATCGTGATATCTTGAAATACTATATTGTGGCTGTCTCGTTTCTGGAGCCGTGTCTCAATCCTGTCATATTTTGTTGTTACTAAAATTGGTCTCATCAATGCTGCTCTGCTGGCAAGGGCACTTGTGATGTTGGGCTCTGCCGAACAGAGAGGGACGATGTGTTCCCATCCTTGGTGAAGGAGCAGGTGTTTCTGAATCTGTCACGATGAGTTCTACGGTTGAATTGCCACAATCTCCTCAACAACAGGTGGCAGAAATCCATGGGTATCACATAACACCAGACATGATTCTACAATTGGCTGCCCTTTGAAAACTCACAAGGAACCTCCGTTCAATACTGAACCCGTTATCCTTCTTCAGCCACGTCAGGGAATACAACTGAGACTGCCTTTGAGTCATGAAGGCGAACTTCTCCACAATTTGTATAGACTCCACGTTCTTACTGTTTCCTCCATCGATGATGAAATTGTGAATATTTCCATTCACAATGCAATGAGTGTAAAATATGTTATGGAGAAGCAACTACTGATTCCTCGTATCCTCAGTTTATAGGACCCGCCGAACCATGAGCATTTCTCCTTCATCCGATGGAAAATGATACACCTCCCCTCGCTCCTCACCTGTCTTCTTGTCGCTAACCTTTTCCACGACACCCTGCTCGGTGAAAGACACCACTCTGCTTGCCGGGAAACTGGAGGCGATGTGCCCATATTCATGACATCTAAAGCATGAGCGGGAGCTGCAAAGGCGTGTTACTCTTCTCGGGCCTCTTCTCACTCGGGGTGAATTTATCCTTATCTAAACCAATTTTCTGAGGCGTTTTTCTACTGGTGTGTCTAGTCATGGGTGTTTGCCGGACAAGTGATGGTCGCATGCTCTGTTTCTGCTGTATTATCACCTTCAGGGATATGGTCTGGACATCTCTTAGTGACCAATAAGGTTGCAGATACACAACATTGCTGACAACGCGCTTTAGGCCCCCCATATAAATGGTTATGGTGTGTTCCTTGGGCTTGACCAATTTATACTTCATCTACAACTGGTCAAATTGCATCTTGAATTCCTCCATCGATAGGTCTCTTTGTTGCAGATGGTTGTCTCAGAAACATATCCTAACGGTAATGAAGCGATATGTATTTCTCTTCATCGTCTTCCTCATTTTCTCTCACGTGGTAATTTTGTCACGGCCTTCTCTCTTCCTCTGCCCTTGCAAGTTTTCTCATCACAAAAAGGCCTTTTTTTCTCAATTTGATGGGCCCTAGTTTTACCTTTTTATCTTTTGTTGCATTTTTGTACTAAAAAAATTCTCTCAACTGACTGCAACCATTTAATGAATTCGTCAGGATTCATAACTCCATCGAACTTTGGTAGATCCACCTTAATTTCGAAGTTCCAGTGTTCTCAGTAGGTGGCTTCCTTTCACGGCCTCTTTTAATAGTAAATTCCAAAGCATCGCGACCTTTCTTTATCATTGAAATCGTCCCTTTGGAAGGGGGTGAAATTCTTGTCTCTTTCACGTCTTCTACTTTCCTTGTCACTATCGAGGGTAAGTTTCCTTGGGTTCATCCTCAATGTTATGAAGCCTCCACTGAAGCCGACGGATCTCTCGCTGTATCTCTTCCTGGGTAGCTCAAACATGTTTCTCCTTGATGGCATGACTAGGGTTTAGAGTTGGGAGGTGAAAGAGGGTGTATGAGATTAATTGAAGGTGTAGTAAAATTAATATGGGGTTGCTCAAGTAGACGATGGCCTTGTCAGCATTCCTAATCCAAAATCATCCATCAGATGGATAAGATTTACGAGGTGGCCCCTATATATTCAAGAGTTGGCTCCCATCATGTTGTACTTTGTCCTATCTCGGGCTTAAGAGGTGTCTTCTATGAGATAGAACTTTATTATTTATGGTACTTCATAGTCATATTCAGATTGGTGTATTGCTTTTTCTCATTCATCGAAATAGTTCACTGTGGCTTTAATGTCTCACGATTTTGTTATCCCATTGGTGTAACTTTTCAGGTCAACCATACTGAGAGTTCTCTCATATTAGTTAAAGTTTATGATAAAATTTCAACGATTACACCAAAAATAGTGACTCGATATTTAAGAATTCAGCTTCAATCTATTTAAAAAGTATCACAAATTTCTTCATTTAAATAACTAATATCATCGTAAGCATGCTTAAACTAGAATCATCCACCATGTAAATAGGATTTTTGTAGCGGCCTCTATAGATTCCCACTAAGATTCAGGAGGTTGCCCCGACCACATAATATTGTCTTATCTAAAGTTCAAGATGTGGTTCCATTTCTTCGCATTTTGATTTGTATGACACTTACTCCTCATTTTTAGGCTGATGTAGTAATGCTATGATATCATTTGTAATAGCTCGAACTCTCAACCATTAAAATATTGTCCATTTTGACTTTATGCTCTCACGATTTTATCCCAGTGGTGTAACTTTCCATGTGGTTATCCATCCCAAGTGTGCTTTCATACGAGCATGTCTTAACTTTGGAGTTTCTAATAAAATTCCAACCACTAGGACAAAGGCGCCTCATGTTTAAGACTTTAGCTTCATTCTACTTGCGGGGTTTCATATGCTAGACATGGATTGGTAATTTAAAAAGTCTGTCTCACTCTTACTGAATATGATTATTAGCTATGATGCAACATTAAGTTCAGCATCCAAATAATAAAAAAGTCGTGTTTGTATGCTTCAGCTTTATTTATGTGTTAAATTGATATCTATATCTGAAGTTACTGACATTTTGAAATTTGAATTCTTTAAATGTGTAATGTGGGGAATATGCATGATAGGCCTGTCTATTGGGTGTTCAACAACTTAATTAAGTGTATACAAACAAATCACATATTAAATTTATAAACTATGCTTGTGCACCCTTGGTTTTGGTGGTATCAGGTTCGCTCTGAACGTGTTAGCATGATCAGCGTTCATATCTGTTAGTAGACAATTTTGGTGACCTTATTTTCTTAATTGTTTGCTATGATCAGCGTTCATATCTGTTAGTAGACAATTTTGGTGACCTTATCTTCTTAATTGTTTGCTAAATTGGTGTCAACATGAATGCAGTTGTATAGTAAAATAAATGAAGAATACTTTTTCTTGTGAGTTATTGTAAATACTTGATTTTTACTTTTTTTTCCATATGGAAGTTAATATGCCTGTCCATTTCAAGTTCAAACTTTGCTAACACTGTCTGTGCTTGTGGTGCATAGCCTGGATCTGTTGGAGCTAAGGTGCTTGCTGTAAAATTCCTTGAGGCTTGTGTTTTAACCTTGACATCTGATGACCATGTTGGCGATCCTCCTTATGAAGAAGGTTTGTGTTTCTCATAGGGAAATTAGTTACCGAACAAGCCCAGTAATTCTAACGTGCAAATTATTTTGGCTGATTTGTTTATTCTTAATAGATGCATTATTTCCATCTTTTACTTTGTTTTCTGAACAGAAAAGGAGCGTGACTTCAATGTCTTATGGTTACCAAAAGATCATCCTGTTTTTAATCCAGCTGCACTTGCGATAGAAGCAAACAATTCTCTTAAGCTCTTACTAGATTTATTGCGCTCAGCTGATACTTTTCATGGTTCCTTGACTATCGCTGTAATGAACAGGTGAGTCCTGAAACTGTTTTTGGCTTCATATCTAAAATTCTCACTTTCATTGGCATAGTTTTTAGGGACAGACATCTGATGAATGCTTTTACTTGTTTTCAAAAATAAATTTTTGTTCACGGGCGGCCGTGTTAGATTAAACCATCTTGTCTATAAAAATTTTCTGTATTTGGCATATATTATACAAATGTAATAGATTAACTCTACAAGTGAAGTTAATGGAATTACCTTTTTGATACCAAACGTTAAAGGCTAGATGAATAAAATATGCAAGAACACTAATGCTGTCATATATAAAGTTCTTTATTATATGTGTTAGTGTTTTGGCTTCTTGGGATGTAAAGGTCTGGAATGATACTCTTACGCTTCTTGTGGTAATGCATTTATTCTGAGTCGCTTTTAAAAAAATTACCATAAATCAAGTTTTATTTAACATAATTCCTACTCATGCATACCCTCCAAAAACTTCACAGCCAGGGAGAATACTCATGTCAAATAGCTTGTCAATCTTTGTGAGCATCAATGACTTTTTTTTGTGCAATCCAGCACAATACATCACAACTTTACAACAAAACCTTAATGAATGTCAGAAGAAGCATTTATGTGGATAATTTATTTGAATTGTTGAAGTAATATTTAAGTTTTAGCAAATTGTAATTTTGTGTGCATTTCAATGCGAGTATTTATCGGTTGCCTACTACTCTAGTCCTTATACTGAATCTTATACTTCAAATTGTAATTTTGTGTGCTATTCATCATATAGCTACATTGAATGTAAATTACCCAAAATATTAATTTGTTGTTTGCATTAATCATAGCCTAACTAATAATATAACTATTAAACATATGAAATCACTAATAAAAATGTTGTGTTTTCCTATGAAGTCCATGATTGTAAAATGAAGTTCCTAACCTTACCTACCAATAACAAAGTCTGATAAATAAGGAATCACTGACACAGCACTGCTTTTGGTTTTCAGTCTTGCGGCGATTGCAAGGAAAAGGCCCCTTCACTATGATTCCATTTTGACAGCCTTGTTTGCTTTTACTCCAAATGATCGTAATTTACGGGCTTGCCACGTCGCAAGTGTTAGATATTCGCTGCGGACTACATTTTTAGGATTCCTGAAGTGTAATCATCCATCAGCCATTGAGGTAGACTGTCCTGGTGCTACAAATGTTCTCTGGTTTATATATGCTGCTTCTTATTAAGCTTTATGGGGTTTATGTCTGAATATTTTGACTTCTGACTTTTAACGAGCCCCCTAGAGAGGTTTATCTGAAGACTTCAGAAAGCTTATGTATTGCAAATTGTCAGTCTAGAATCCTAGTTATTGTTATATCATTATCATCGATGTAGACACTCCTAATTAAGGAGCAGTGCAGTGTCAAACATGTATCAAACAAGCACAACTTTGGCACATGTTTGACTCGACGTAGAATTGTTCGATTTAAATAATATTTAAAAGAAGGAGCACACATGTCTAACACGCGCTTTAAATTAATAAATTAGAAGTTTTTAAAAATATTTTTAAACATATATATTTTAAGAATAAATTTTTAATGAAGTTATTCAATTTTTTTTACAAGTTAAACTTATCTTGATGTAAAATAAGACAGTTAGTGCTTGCTTTTTCTATATCATAAAATAAACAATATTTATGGATCTCCTAGCTTTTGAAAGTCAATGCTATTAAATTTTTTTATTATATCTTCTTTTTTGGTCTTAATGTTATTTAATTTTTATCTATTTTCTATATTTTATATTAGGAAGATGTACATACATACAACTCAATTCTTATGTATTTACATATCCAACACCTACACTTCAATTTTTACATATTTATAACATTACCTATGCACGGAAATTTGTATTTCACTTTTGAAAAGTTAAAATAGTGCTATTTTTGATGTGATATGAAAGATTTGAGTGTTATAAATGGAAAAGTAAAGTTTGGTGTTAGATATGTAAATACATAAGAATTGGTTAGTATGTATGTAAATGCCCCTCTGTATTATAATACCGTGTTCGATGGTATCCATATTATCTATTTTGAATAATAGAAATATCATATGTCTAGGTTGTCACTTGTCCTTATACAGTGTCTGTATCCGTGCATCATAGATTACGATCAATAAATTTGAGAAGCATTTCTTCCCACGATGCATTTGGGTCAAATTTTTTCTTGGAATATCGAAAGATACTATATCTCATAACCAGTTAATGAATATAGCTGATGCATCTCTTGAAAACTATAACTCTACTTCTATGTTTTCTGTCTATACCTTAAACAGTTTTAACTGACTATTTGATGATGTTAACTAGGCCATGCATGTCTTTACACTTCAGAACCATCTGAATGAATTGGCTTTTACATGTTATGCCATTCTTTATTTATAAATTGGTTTGTTGTCCGTAGATGAGATAAACCAAGCAAGTTGGACTCTTCTGGAATGCAGTTTAGGCCTTTATATTTGGAAATTCATCACACAATTTATGTATTTTTCTTTTCTTCTTCATGTTACCTTTGTATTAATTGCTTTGATGGTAGAATTGGGGCGCCGAATCAAGTTAATTTTCTGTTTAGTATTCTGTGTTTATAGTTTTATTTTACTTGGTTATGTCCTCATCAAAACAGTAATTTTCTTACATTTTTTTATTTTATTTTTTAGTATTGGAAATAGTCCTCTCCCTTTTCTCTCTTCTGTTATATCTATCTTTGTGTGTTGTAGATTGTCATTTTGATTTGGAAAATTTACGTACATGACACAAATCCTATTTTTTTACATATCTAACTCCCACGCTTCAATTTATATGTACTTGCCAACTTGCCTATGCATTCATGAAAAGGTGTACTTCACTTTAAAAGTTGAAATGTGGTATTTTTAATGTGATATGAAAGATTTGGGTGTTATAACGTTAAAAAGTAAAGTTTAGGTGTTTGATATGTAAATACATATGAATTGGGTGGTATGTATGTAAGTGTCCCTTTTAATTTTCATCACTCGCCGTATCCAACTATTTTGTGTCATTTTTATGCCTTTTATGCTGTTGAAGTGTTGCCTGGTGGACAATTCTCATACAAATCTCTTTGCATAATTTATCCAACTTTCTCCTCTTTTTCTTCCGTATTTCTTTCAAACTATAATCTATCGTCATTCTGTGCTTGTGCCCCTACTTTGTTTATGCCCAGACCAGACCATCCTAAGTTCCATTTTCTCTCTCTTACTACTTACATTCTACTTATAATATATTAATTTGTTCGTATGTATCATGATTTAACCTATTCATCTCAAATTTTCAAGCAACTTAATTGGTCTTGAGTTCTTTGTTTTTTATCACTTGAATTCATTCAACATACTTTGATCTATTATCCTGTATATTCAATATGCATTGAGTAGTAAAGAAAAAGCATTTAAACATACTTATAAACTTCTTTTGGGATTTGGGATACCATAAAAGCTCACTTAATGAAAATGAAGAAAACAAGAACCTCGGATAGGATCTGAAATTTTGATTTCTGAACTTGCTGGATCAACTTTCTTTCCTATTCAACTTTCCATAGCGCCAAGAATTTAAGAATCTGCCAATAATTTGGCTAGGGAAAACCACCAAAATTACTGCTGCAATCGAGTGCTCCTTTCTAAAGGCGATTTGAGAAAATGCTCGTCTCTTGTGAGGTACTCGTTTTCGTAAACATCCAAGGCAAATATGTATTGATAGTCAAGCTTGCAAATAAACCAAGAACAACGTCAGTGTGAAATTCCCAATGCCTATTGCTCGTTGTTGTAATACATCCAAATCTGTTTTCTCCTTGTGACGAGCTTCCCAATTCATTGTAAATTCCTTCCTTCAATCTCAGTTGCTGGAAAATTGACCCAATTAATAAATTCAAGAAAACCAAGGAGGAAGAAGTTAATTAACAATTGAACAAGGGGGAAAGTGCTAAGAAGGTCTTCTGGACTCAAAAAAATATTAGTTTAGTAGTTTGGTCTAGACTTGCCAAACTTGAACCTTGTTGTAATCTTCCTGCTTTTTTCCCATCTTTATATTCCAATGGCTGCTATAGTATATGCCATAAATGCTGTAAATCCATCAGAATGTTGTGGGAATGTTTAGTAGTTCAAGAATTCTGCAGAACAAAAAGCCTTCCGCTGCGATTCCTAAAACAACAAATTCCTTCCTTTAACGCATAAGTTCTTAAAATAAGCTCAGCAAATACTGCTCACTAACCAAGACCAACGGGGTTTAAATAGGCCAGCACCTATTGAAATTATAAAGTTCTCATTTACAAATTTTCCCTCCATCAAGTAATGTATAAAGGACCCTACACAAATAACTTCGTCAACAAATATGCATTTCGTGATCTATGTGTTCTATAAAATAATTTATAGGAAACGAATATGCATCTATCAGGCTTCTAAGATTGATTCTTTGCTGGCTAGTAATATGACATATTATAACATGAAATCTCAAATAAATTAACTATTCGCTAAATAAAGGTGCAAATTTGTAAGTGTTCCTCACAAACAGTATTATCACTTACTAATCTTAATAAAATAGTGATCAGCATTTGAGCTAAGGCTATCAATTCAGGAATAAATATGATGATATGTCAACTCTTGAAAAATAGTACATTGAACATTGTTTGAACTCTCTCTCTCTCTCTCTCTCTCTCTGTATATATATATATATATATAGATTACCAAATTGATTATGAATAATGATACAAGTAAAATTATATTTTTTATAATGCTAGAAATCATAAATCATAAACTAATCCTCTCATACAAGAAAAAAAAAAACCAATTTGGCATAAAATGTCAACACTTACCACAATATAGAAAAAATGCCCCTGATTTTAAGAAAGATAGCAGATGCTTATAATTTTCGTAAAAATTAAAATGACTAGAGTTATCATCTGGATCCCATTTTATTCATTTTGTGAATGTACATATCTCAAAAATTGTCTTTATTTTTAAAATTTGGACATTTATCGGCATGCAAGGTACATGCTCGTGCCTTCCTTGCCCTTGTTCCACATGTGACTCTTATTGTAGGGGTGCCCGTGCATCCTAAATGGTCATTTTAAAAAAAAAAATCCATTTTTAGGTTTAAAAAAATCCTAAATCTTCTTTTTTTGAATTTGCGGTTCAACTTTGTTTATATCATGTTCTTTTGGAGTATTATGTGTACTTGAAGCAATTTGATTAGTCTGAACAATTCCATTCCTAATGCACTTTTATAGTTTTTTTAATATGTATTTTTAGTTTTTTCAGAAGACAAGGCCTTTTTACTAACCTTTTCTCAAGTTCTGCTGATCATTATTTGACCTTGATTCTTGTTTCTATATTATTGCATAAAATGTATGCCGCAACTTGGTTTACCACTTCAATGCAATTTAAATAATCCCTATTAGAGGTTCCATTAGTTTGAGTTCCTTGATTGATTCCCTGGGAATTGACTGACACCTTATTGGATTTTCTCCAAGGGAATTTTACTTACATGACGCACAATTCTATGTATTTACACACCTAACGCTATAAGTTTGCACTTTGGTGTCATAACCTATGCATGAAAAGCTGTATTTCACATTTAAAAAGATAGTGACAGTGATATTTCGATGTAATGTTAAAAATTTGAGTGGTATGCATGTAAATATGAATGTTTAGGTGTTAGATATGTAAATATATAAGAATTTCATGGCATGTATGCAGCTGCCCTTTCCTTTAATTGCTCGCTTAAGGTTAAATATGCTGGGTCAGTGTTCCCCTCTGGTGGTAATTTTGTTAATTTTTTACTTTTTTAGGTGTTCAAGTCTTACAGCACATTTGATTTGTGAAAATTTTGGTAACTAAATTGAACATTTTTCTGCAGTCCAGGGAAAAGCTTGTGAGGTGGTTACGTTCCATGAGTCCCGGGGAAACAGTAGAGCAAGCTATTCGTCAAGTCGAAAAAATGTCAAGAATGGAGCGAATGTCCCGAGATATTCAAGTTAACAGGGTAAAATGTGCTTAGAATTTTTATTCTACTTGTATTTTTTTGTCATCTGAGACTGACCTCTTAGTTTGAACTTGTGTTTATTGATTCTAATAGGATGATGAACTATCCGGACATATATCAGCATCTAGGGATTCAGCTAAGATGAGGCCTGGGACAATGTTTGATGATATCACTTCTATTTCTGAGGAGATTCCACAAAAAAAGATGAGATTTAGTTCAACTTTCTTCTCCGTTCAATCTGTTGATAAATCATCTGATGCTGTAGATACTCTAGATTCTTCAAACGATTTTCCTTTGAAAGATGATTTATCTCCTGTTGAAAAGATGATCGCCATGATTGGAGCTCTTTTGGCAGAAGGGGAAAGAGGTTCCGAGTCACTTGAAATCCTCATTTCAAATATTCATGCAGATCTCTTAGCTGATATAGTCCTAGAAACAATGAAGCATTTGCCAAAGAATTCACTTTCCTCATCTGGAATCAATGGAAACTCACATTTGAATGCTCAGTTGTCTCCAAGAGGTTCTTTGTCTCATGTAGGGTCGTCCTCTGGTGCAATACATGGTCAATCTCCTTCTTTTTTGTCCCAAAATGAATCAACTAAATCAGTTTCTAGTGAAATCTCTATGCCAATTTTGGATGTGCCTGCCCTATCTAACATTCTCACGGACTTTAAGCGTGATCCTAGAAGGGTGAGCTTTTCTATCTTCTCCTATTCATTTTTGGGGCATTTAAATACATTGCACACAATTCTTATGTATTTACATAGCTCACACCTGAACTTTCATATTTACAAATCTTTAGTATCACATAACAAATGGTAGTCTCATTACTTTTTAAAAGTGAAATTCACCTTTTCATGCATAGGTTTAAAGCACCTTCGTGCTATGTATGTAAATATGAAAGTTTTATGTGTGAGATATGTAAAAACATAAAAATGTTGTGCCACGCATGTAAATTTTCCTTTATTTTTTGGATTTATATTATTTTATTTCTTAGGTTTTAATGTTTTAATGTTAATATTCTCTCAATTGTTACTAAAGCATGTCAGTTTTAGGATCCTCGTCGTCTTGATCCACGTCTTGTTGCAGCACCAACTGTACAATCCTTGCCAATGAACTCAGAGAATGATAGTGCCTCAAAAAACGAGCTTCATCAATCTGTGAGTAATTTGACTTCTTCGTTGGAAGACAGGGTTGAATGTCCTCCAGCTTTTTTTTTATCAAAGGGTGAGGGAGAGCTCTCGGATAGGGCAGTTGATTCTAGTGTAAATCAGTTAGCTTCCAATGAAATTTTAGAAGTTAAGGGTGCTTTCATGGAAATAGATCCATCAACTGAGGTTCAAATTCCTGAAAAGTCAACAATTTCCTCTGTACATGTTGAGCAAGAGCTGGCAGATTCTATGCCTTCAGATGCTAGTGAAAGTCAAAGCGTTGATGCTAATCTGATGGAATTTGATCAGTATTTTTCACCTGTTGCGACAGCACTGACAGCTGAAGATGCTTCTCATGATATACTTATGCATCCAGTTCATGTGGAGTTAACAATTGAGCAGAAAAAAGAATTATGCAAATTAGCAATTGTAAGGATTTTAAAAAATTCTAAAAAAGTATGCGCTGATGCAAATGATCAACGATGGTTAGTTTTATTGGCACGTCTTGTTGCTCAGGTAGTTATCCTTTTGTCACAAAATTTTATTCTTATTAATTTCTTGTACTTAAGGATGATGACCATATGATCTTGACATACACTCAATGTTGATGGTGAATGAACTAGTATTTTTATATTTTGTTAGTGGATTTATTCCTTGGGAGTATTTGATTTTATTTTAAATTAGTTTCATCCTATCTATTTGGAGATAATTTTCTTTTTTATTTATGTTTCTTATCCAAAAGGGTCTTATTTCTATTGTAAATATGACCTAATTTGATGAGATAATATTTGCTTGATTTGCTCCAACTACCCCAACGTCTTGGTAACATTCTTCTCCCATCTTCTCATTCACTAATGAAATTACTCATGATTTAACCCCTTTTTATCATCTCACTCTTTGATATTGTTCTAGAGCACCTAGAAGGTGTTTTAGAAGATGGGTTTGCGGAGAGGTGGCTGTGGAATGGTAAGGAATTTGTAGTAGGGGTTGTTGGCAACATTGGGAAGGATATAGGAAGCAAAATTGGCTGTAGAACAGCAGGTTAGCGGAGTACGATGGCTGTCCAGACTGAAAACAGCGGGCAAATGACGAAATGTTGACATTCGGGCGGCGAGGAGTCCATCTATTTCTGAGCAAGATACATACACTCTACTTGCAAAAGAAAGATGATACAACATTCTAATGAGCACAATTCAGAGAAATGTCTCTCAAATTCATAAATTTAACAAAGCTGAAAATCTGAAACCTTTATATATCATATATAAAATTTCCCATAAGTAAAAACCTTTCTTAGAAATAAGAAAAAATAGAAAATAAAGGAATATGAAATAATGGAATTGTAAATAAACTGAAAAGGAAAGAAATATGCTTGAAAGAAAAGAAAATCTGTGCCTATTTTGCCCCTCCATCCAGTCCACAATCATGGAATAACCGATTTCATGATACGCTGAATCCCATATTGCCAAAATTTCGTTCCGCGGTTTGCGAGTACGAACAATTCGCAAATCATTCTCCTCTGCTAGAATAAAAATCATTTGAAATTGTCTGGATCCTCCTATCAAATGTTCTTTCTCACTGAAAACCCACGAAGGTTGCCAAAGCGGCAGTTCATCTCTCATGTCTTGCCATTTTTATGTGGGTGCGTCCTTTAACTCAAATGAACTGAAATCTAACAACTAGACTACTCAATACAACTTTCCAGAAATAGCTCAAAATCTTTTTATCTCTGACATATTAGACCTCTCTCAACAGTGGCAACTTAGGAGGCTTACTGTATGTTTGAAAATTCTGAAATTATTTTATTCGAGGTTGCCATATGTTTGGTGTCAATCCCTTGAACTCATGGCCCACTTGGACAACCAAGACCAGTACTGCTGATGCTTCTCTTAACGCCTACAAAAAGATAGTTCGGGACGCCACATTCTCAAACTCTGTATGAACATCCATTATTCTTAGTCCTATTATGTACGACAACCAATGATATCTCTTATGGGTTTAACTTGAATCACCAGCATCTGCCCGCTTTTGGCTAAATGCTGATATTCATGTCCATTCTTTTCTTCTGGGTCTTCTCCCTCTGCCTCTTTTACTAGAACTTGTTCAGTTTGGATAATCAGGCTCAATGTGCCTAAAGTCGTGATTTACTAGAACTTGTTCAGTGAAAGATATCACCATACTGTTTGGATAATCAGGCTCAATGTGCCTAAAGTCGTGACACTTGAAGCATTTCCTTGTTTCCGTGATTGAACTTTACCTATAAGGTGTGGCGGTCATCTGGTAACATTGTTGTTTCTCCACCATTAATGCTAGGGTCTGTACATCAAATAGAGACTATTAAGGCTGCAGCCGAACCACACTATTAATAGATGATATCAGTCCTCTAAGATATCTTACTGCTGTGCTTTTTTGGTCCTTTAACTCAAATTTCAGAATGAGTTGATCAAAATCAGCTGCGTACTCGTCCACAGAAATCTCTCTAGCGTAGGTTGTGGAGCTTAATGAAAATGCCATGTCAGTAATGTGAAGTTTACGTTACATCTCTCTTCTCATTATGAATCACGTGGTGATCTTACTCTTTTTTTCACATCTCCCATCACTATGAATTTTTTTCTAAGCTTGATGATTGTCAATTTAATTCTCGTCTTGAGGAACATCCTTGTACTAAATAATTTGCTCAACTGTTTGAAGCCACTATGATAAATTCATCTAGATCCATATGACCATCAAAATATGATAAATTTACCCTTACTCTAAGATCTCGACTTTTTTGCTATTTCATGCTGAATCGTCGGTGCAGTGGTTCTTGGTCACTAGAAATTGCCTGGTGGAACGGATTCACCTTTTACTTTCGATCTGATTAGTCACAGCTGTAGTTATATGGGTGACCTCACCTGATTTTCTTATCTCAAAAGAGACAAATCTCTGCTCTAGTTAGAAGATTTCTCGTTACATATCCTTCATAGTAAATTTCTGGACACCTTGCTGAGAGTTTCTCCTTAGCGATATCGCGCCACTTTTTTCCTATCAGGTTTCCGGCGGATGTAGGATTACGAACCATGGTTGGTCAGAGCTTAAGTTTCGGTGTGGGTGTTGGGTGAAATTTTGGTGGAGATAGGAATGTTGGATTTGAAAATTTTTCATCTAAGGCTAGGAATTTCTATAGGAATGATTTGGTTATGGTAGATTTTTTTTGGAATTTTGGATTTGGCCAAGAAAGACAAAGCCTAAAAAATCTAGGGCTTGTCGGGCTTCAATATCATATGACATTTAAGGTGCCTAAAAGGTGTTTTAAAAGCTGGGTTTGCAGGGAGATGGATGTGGAATAGTAAGGAAGTGGCAATAGAGGTTGTCGACGGCGTTGGGAAGGATGTTGGAAGCAAAATATGCCCTAGAACAACAGTGGGATGAGTGCGATGGTTGCAAGGAGTTTCCACCATCTGTTTCCAAGGAAACTACAAACGCACCACTTGCAAAAACAAGATGATAGAGCACCCCGAATAACAAAATTTAGAGAACGTCTCTCAAATTTATAAATTGAACAAAACTGAAAAATCCAAAACCCTTACAATACATATAAAAAGTCCCCTCGAGTAAAAAAGTCTACTTGAAAATAAGATAATTAAGAAATAAAGAAATAAGAAATAAATCATAGAGGAAATAAATATGCTTGAATAAAAGAAAATTGACGCCTCTGTTGTCCCTCAGTCTTGTCCGCAGCCACGATATAACCAATTTCGCAATAGGCAAAATTCTGTATTGCGAGAATTTGTTTCTGCGGTCTTGCGGGCACGAACAGCTCTCGTGTCATTCTTCTCAGTTTGGAGAGACTTCTTGTTCTCAGAAAGGGATTATATGTCATTGTCGAATATTCTTTCCCACAAACACCTACGAAAGCAGTAGAAGCGACAGTTCACCACTCTTGTCTGGCCATCTGTCAGTGAATGCGTTGAAATGAATTGAAACTAACACTTAGATTATTCAATTTAGTTTTTCAAAAGTAGCTCAAAACCTTTTCATCCCTGATATATTTGATCTCCCTTAGCTCTGACAACTTAGAAGGTTGATTGTATGTCTGAAAATTTTGACATTCTTTTTTTTTTTTGAGATTGTCATGTATTTGGTGTCGATTCCTCAAACTCATGACCCTCTTCGAAACCAATCTTGCTGCGGCTTCTCGTAACGCCAGCAAAAAGTTAGTTCGTGGCACCACATCCTCAAACATTGTATGAACATCAATTATCTCAGGCTCACTACTGTCTACAACAACCAATGATAATTCTGTTGGATTATCTCTTATGGGTTCAACTTGAATCACTAGCATATTTCTCTCATCGGCTACAAGCTGATCTGCATCTCCATTCACCTCTTTTGGGTCTTCCGTCTCTGCCTCTTTCACTATATCTGTTCAATGAAAGATATCACCCATATGTTTGGACAATTAGATGCAATGTGCCCAATGAATTTAGGAGTATTAGCGATCTCTCAACCCTTTTTTTTCTCACATTAGACTGGTTTCTCCTCTGACAGAGTAGGTCTAGGTTCTCCAGGTTCAGGGGGGTCGAGGTTCTCACATTAGACTGGTTTCTCCTCTGACAGAGTTGGTCTAGGTTCTCCAGGGGGTGCTTTTATTGTCGATTACTGTGATTGAACTCTACCAGTAAAGCGTGGCGGTCATCTAATGACGTTTTTGTTTCTCCACTTTCAATACTAAGATTTATACATGAAGTAGGACCAATACGACTACAGCTGAACCACACTACTGATAGATGATCTCAGTCTTTTTTGATATCTTACAATTTTGTGTTCCTTTGATTTCATGAACTCACGTTTCATCATGAGCGGATTTAAGTCAGCTGCGTACTCCTCCATAGAAGTGTTTCTCTTGCGCTAGTTGTGCAGCTTTATGAACATATTTTGTCAGTAGTGCGTGAGAATGTATTTGCGATGCATCTTTTTTTCATCTTGAAGTATATGGTGATCTTACTATTTTCTTTTTGCTATCGAATATACTTTAGATTCTCCAACACAATGAATCATTATTTTTGAGCTTGATGGCTGTCAATACAACTCTTTTGCTCTGAGGAACATTTTTGTACTAAAAAATTCGCTCCACTTTTTGAGCTACTCGATAAATTTATCTAGAGCCACGCGATTGCTGGAATCTGGTAAATTCATCTGACGCAGGGGCTTGGGGTTGAGCCGACCCCAATCGGTTCCGCAAGAGAAGGTTCGGTCTAGTAGGAGGTTGGATTGGCCCCTTCTCCCTCTTTTCATTGGGTGAAAATTGCTCCCCCCTTCCTATTTTCTTTTCTCACCTATCCATCGTCTATTTATACTCGTGTTGCTATCCTAGTGTTTAGTTTTCATTCTTCCCGATTCTATATTTTTTGTCTAGCTGGCTGTTGGCGGCTGTTTTGCCTGCTAGAGTCGTATTCGAAGGCGAGGGATGCTTCGACTGTAACTTGATCTAAGGTTGTGTGTATCATTCCATTACTTTTTCCCATTACCTTGTTGCA